TTTACTAAACGTCCGAATAAGAACGGAGTGCCGCATTATTTTGAGCAATGACATCAAATCACGGACTTAGACCAACCCCTTAGTTTCCAATTAACTTCCGCTGACGAAGTAGTTAAACAAGCGAACGGAAGATGAGGAAAGGCTAACCAAAGGTAGTCTAAAAAGTATGAAAACTAACGAAAATCAAAAACCCAAAATCGGCTTAACCTGAGTCGAATTAGAACCAGAATTGTCTCACCATAAGTTTGTGGTCCCAGCCCCACACCAAACTAATTTGCTCAACTGAGCTCGCTTCTGATATAAAGGCTCTGAATATTTAGCCGAATTAGCTACCGAGATTGCGGAAATGGGTAAGTGTCAAGGTTGCCAAATGCCCGAGTATGTTATTTATCACGAAACTCAAGCTGGCGACATGAAGTACCACTTAATATGCAGTGGCTGCCACAAGAAATGCGATGAAGGAATTTATAAACACGAGAATGATTATTACTCTTTCCAGAGCCCCAAGTGTGGGGCTTATGTTTTTTGACTACGGAATGGCGAAAAAACCGAAGAATGATATTGCGAAAGTTGTAAGTTCCAATTACTGTGCGGTGATTGTGGCTCTCCTCACGAATTAGATACCGATTCACGGGTTAAGCCCGAATTAGAGGATTTTTGTCTTTGTGCAGATTGCGAGATGAAAAGAGAGGCTAGAGAGCCTGAGGGAGGAAACCATTAGCAGAGAACCTCGTGAGAGGTTCCTTTTCCGCTCAACATTCAACAAGTTGTCGATTGGTCGTCCCAAGTAAACAACACCATTTTATTTAAATCCTATGAAAACTAACAACGAAATTACCAAACTAACTCTACGAAAAAAGTTAAGAGAAGAATTAATTACCTTAATTGCTTCCGGTGCTGACTACTTAACTCAAATTAAGAAGTGCCTAACGGAACTGAGAAAAATTTGCCAGCAAGAAGTTAAGGCCTGAACTAACGAAGATATTACTAATATCGAAGACAATTTTAAGGCCTTGAAAGATATGCTGGTATTTGGTGAGGTTGAAGAAACTATACCTGCTTTGCTAGAAAGTTTAGAAAATTATGAAGAGAAAAATCGTCCTCAATGCTAACAAATTAGACATTAACGGAAAGCCGTGGCGGGAAGCTCTCCAAGAAATTCCCGACTCTGAAAAATATAAGTTCTGAGAATGAACTTATAACCAATTCCGGGGCGTAAATTTCTCTTGTAATCGTTGTGGACTGCGAGTTGCCAACGAAATTGGTTACGGAAATTACGAAACAACAGAAGCCTATCTATCCAACCTCGATCAAGATGATTACGGACATTTATATTGTGAAGCTGACTCTTGAGCCAAAGGGCATTCCCACGCTTATTTGACTCCGGAAGAATTTTGTAATATGGCTTATGATTATCATCTTCACCATCTCGCTCGGCAATTTTATAAAAAAATTTGCCTAGATTTAGGAATCTCTTGCGGAACCTGCCAAACCTGAAAAGCCTGGCTAGAATTCAAGAAAGAGAATCCGCCCAAGCAATTTTCGAGCGAGAAAGAGTGATTTAACCATTGATACCGGGAAAAAGAATGAAAATTGGCTACTCCTGAGATTTATATTACTTCCAACTAGAGCTACCTTTATACACTAAACGCTTATTGAAAAGTAATATAATTGTGTAGAAGGAATAAAATTAAATAATAATCTTATTATGAATAATTTTGAAAAGAAAATAAGTCTTAACTCACTTATCTCCACCCGAAATTTTCTCGCTGAAATTATGCAAGTTGCTCAGAGTAATTACGAAAAGGCCGG